GACTTCTACAGACAATAAATTCTATTCAAATAATAAGTATCTTGGGATGTGCTTGGTCGTTTAAAAAATTCTAAAATATCCTTATATACATGTTCTTTGTCAAAGGAATGAAGTAGGGCTGAAGATGCAACTCAGAGGAAGAGTGTTTCCTAGCATGTGCCATGCCATAGTTCAATCCTGAGTATGGCAAAAAATAAAATAAGGTAGATTTGATGGATAAATACAGCTTTTTAAAAATCATTCTATGGGCCTGGGGATATAGGTCAGTTGGTAGACTGCCTGCTTCACATGCACAAGGCCCTGGGTTCAATCCCCAGCACCACCAAAAGGAAAAAAAAAGTAAAACTTGCTATGGATGTAAACATCATCAATTAAAAAAAAAAAGCAGGGCTGGGCTGGGGTTCTGTCTCAGCCGTAGAGCACTTGCTTAGAAGGTGTGAGGCACTGGGTTTAATTCTTTTTTTTTTTAAACCATTCTTAGTATTATTTATTGTAAAAACCATCACTTTCAAATGAATTTAAAAATCTTTTAATCTTATTTAATGAAAAAGTCTCATACTATCAGGTACAGGATATATCAACATTTACTACTCTTCAGTCAAGTTTAATGAAAAACATGATTGTTTACTTGGAAAATCCTCAAACCCATTCTCTACTAGTCTGTCATAATTTAAAGGGTATTTTCTTCACTCAAATAAGGAACTCTATTGTAAAGCTACAATAGTTATGACCTGGTTACATGCTATACATAGTCCCATGAAAAAATAATTCAGTTGCTCCTATCCCTGATGCAAGGCACTTCAAAGCACCCGCACAAAATGTCCATGTAAACAGCAGTACAGTACATCATTTAAATAACATGAATGACTTCCACACAGCTTGACCTAGACTTAAGAAAAAATAAAATACATCATTGCCACAGCTAAAAAGCATGTTAAGACTCACAACAAGAATCTGTTTCTCTTATTATAAATAGAAGAACAGGCTATATAACATCCTGGGGGTAACAAAAAAACCCTCAAAGATATTTAAAATATTGCAAAAACAGCATGCTCCCTGGGTACGTATAAAATCTGAATATTCAAGAGTGATTAGGAGTGAATACCCAGCCTTAACACCCACCAGACCTAAGAGTCTGGACTACTTGTAGCACCATGAAAAATGCATTAGAAAATCACAAAGGGACTTAATTCAAACCATTCTTTCCAGGAGGTTCACTTAGTCCTGGTAATAAACAATGATGCACAGATTTTTTTTTTTTTAAATTATTGGCTTATTAGAGTTACCTAGCAAGAAAAATTTTATATTATTTATTTTAGTACATCTCATGTACACAAAGCACCAGTTTAAACAGGGTTATCCAACACCTCTAGCATCCTGTTGCTCAGCCTGAAACTTCATTTCTTATAACATTTCTATGTTATACCCTTAAAACCAAGGAGGATAAAATTAGAAAGGTCATAAATACTGACAGAAAAATTTAGTTCCTGCCCTATCAAATTTCTGCCTCTCAAGTAAAATGTAGATGAATGACAAAATATAAAAGGCCTACTGCATTCTCTGGAACCTCCCAGCTCAGCAGAACAGGTCTGCCCACCAGGAGATAAACACAGGAGTTGAGGGGGCCAAAGGCAGGGCTCAATGCCTGTCAGGTCAGGCCAGGTCAGCCCTGCTACTGTGTGGTCATGCTGTTCTCCCACAAAGCAACTTTCCCACACACTTACCATTGGCGAGGGAACGAGGTCTGAGTGTGCACACAACTTGGGGAGCTCCGAGTCCAGCCTTTTTTACACCAAAATCCAGCAAATAGGGCTCCCCTGAGCACTAGCTTCCTGTGTGAAAAGCAATGCAGCTGCCTCTGTACCAGTGGTAACTCATTATTAGGATGCCCTTCTTAGGCATCAAGGGAGAATGGCATGCCAAGGTCTTGCACAGTTAAGAATCAAATACACATATTTGACAGTTGCATTTTAAAATTGCAGATCAAAAGCAACTTCTAGAAGAAAACTGATTTCTTCATAAATGAAATAAAGTATATAAAAAGCTGGAATGATGGTTAATTCACATACAAAAACTCATACAAAACCCCTACTTTTTCCAAACTACTTAGGTTCATACAGTTGATTCTACCACACAACTGTTCTGTACTATAATTACACACTAAAGTAAAGTACTGAGAAAATATCTCGGCTAGCAAACCGAGGTTTGACTTCTTGACAACTGCATTAAACTGCAGCACGTAGGCAGAGCCCAGAATCACCACTCTTAAGCAGGGTTCCCTTCCCCCTGCTCCAGTTTTCCACAGTGATTATTAAAGGAAGGAATCTGGTCTGTAAACGACTGGGTCATCCACTGCCCATTTGGAATGTCACTGAATGCTGATTCTCCTCTTAACTCTGCACTGTCAGCTGTTAGCCTGTCCTCAGAGAAGTTGCATGGCTCACTGTTGCCCAGATGCTCAGCGTAAGCACCTCCATACGCTGCTTCATAGCCTGGGTCATATTTTTCTTCCTTAACTGCCATCTTCTTTGCATCCTCTTGGGCAAGCTGTAGATCAAACATGTACTGCACCTCCTGAACGTCTGCGTTCAGTTCAATGCCTTTCAACTGGTCTCTTAAGTCCTTTAGCTTAATATAGTAATGGACTTTGTCCTGGGCTGGAGGAAACTGAGCACACCTTGCACTGGACGATGGCATAACATAGCAGAGAGTTTCTGTATCTGGGATCTTATGGGGTTGAAGCCCAAATTCCAAGTTCTTAACCTTTACTCCAAAAACTTCTTTACTAAAAATTTCATAAATACATTTTCCATTAAACACTGCTATTCGTGGCTGATATTTCTGTAATTTCTGTACTAGAATACGTCCTCCTTCACGAAATTCTTTACTGGAAAGATCCTTGCTGCTTGGCGTCGTCGGTTCTACCATGTTGGTAAATCCAATACCATAGTTCCCTGGTAAAGTGTGATCATCCATGTGATTGAGCTGCACCTCACTCAGCCCTGACATAAACAGACACTTCCAAAAACGGTTCCCAGGTCCAGGATAATGATGCCCTTTGTAAGCAGCCATTAGTCCTGGGTTGATGCCAATAATCACAATGTCCAGATTGAAGGTCAAAATATCAGGGAGAGTCTTGGTCAAAAGTTCAGCTTCGGAAACCCCATTAAAACGGTCCACTTTTCTTTTTACTTTAAACGCATCTGTAATCTTTTCTTGCTTTTCTTTTGATTTTGGGGACTTGCCAGACTTCTTGGACTCAGCAGGTTTTTTTGGGTTCCTCTGGTTTTTTTGGTTCAGTTGTTCTGGCTTTTCTTTTCCTTCCTTTTGGAGCCTCTTGTACTGGTTCCTGAGCAGGCTCTGGGGCTGGAAGTTCGCCTGGCATCTGCTGTTCCTTCATGACTGCCACATCAGGAGCTTCAGTCATCATTTGTTGAAATGGAAATGAATAAAATGCTTGAGCTTTACCAGGGAATAGCTGCCCGCGTTTTCCGCTTCCATGCTCCGCGGCCACTCGCGCCAGCAGCGTCTCCTGCGGTGCCAAGGGACAGCTGGTCTCTGGGAATGGCGGCAGGCGCACGACGACACCGGCGCCTGGAACCCGATTACTGGCGGGACCGGACAGCGGCTGGCCTCGTCGCCTCCCCGAGCTTCCACATCACCCCCCCCTCCAGGAGCCCCCCTCCACGCCGCACCTCCGTCTCCTCGAAGCCGGACCTCCGCCTGGGTTTAATTCTTAGCATCATATATAAGATAAAATAAAGTTTCATCAGCAACTAAAAAATACATTGATTTTTTTTTAAAGGAATTTGCTTAAAAAATTATATTCTACATAATTTTTAAAACAATACAGTAAAGATCCTTGGTAAGCATCTACCAGGTAACTCTTCCAGGCCATTGCAGACCTGGCTCTGTAAGAATCTGTAAGTTAATAATTCAATCAGAAAAAAAATAATAATTCAATCA